CTTTGCACTCTGGATTTACAAGACTCCACCTGCAATGGTGTGCTCGGTTGGGTGTTGTAGCACACTGCAAGGGAGGTGGAGCCCATCCAGAAGAGAGCAAGCAAAGAGAATGTTCCAGAGTCTATGAAGCTGGATTTGCTAGGAAGGAGAGAAAGAGTTGTTGGTATTTGCTCTACACTAGATAGAGAGAAATCTTCAGGTATATAAAAGGGGAGCTTTGCAATTGTGCGATCCCTGCATCTTCCTGATGCAGTTAATATGGAACATGTCTGTCATGGCTATGAATAATGGGCTCAGCTTGGAGTGAGAAATAGTTTAGTTAGATATTGGGGCAAAAAAAATCCAGTGGCAAATGTAATAAGGAGTTGGGGGGGGACTTTGACACTTTTGTCACTGTCTTTAAAAACTTTTGTATGTGCTGGAGTACCTGCTCAAGACTTGCCCATATCACCACTGTGTGTGTGGCAGTAACCCCATACTGCCTGGCCAACACCTTCAGCTTCTCTCCACCCTGGACTTTCTGGACAGGGGTCTAAGGAAGGCCAAGCACCACTTACTGGTAAGAAGTTTTTTCCTGGTTTGGTTTGGTTTTTTGATTTGTTTGTAAGAACATTCACACTGTGAAACTCAGAGCAGTGCTCCTGACAAATACAGTTTATGTGAAGGAAGATCCCTAAGAATGGACAAAGACTGTCCATGCCATTCTGTCACACTTGTCAGGTTGAGTACTTGAAGTGGTGGATGTCAGGAAGGAGTTGGACTGGCCTAAGCTTCACCTTTTGTGTTTGGCTGTGGGGAGGCAGGTGGTGTGGGTAAGAGTCCGAGATCTCCAGGGTCTCTCAGGGTTCTTTCTTGGGGTTGCTGGGTGTTTTCTAGATGCCAATAGAAGTGTCCCTTTTGGCAGTGGGTCCAGTCTGTGAGGACTGAGGACAGATGTGGTACTCGCTAGAGCAGCAGTAATCCATAGCCAGGCTTTATTTTCTTGTGGTTCTGGTATCAACCGCCAAAGCTGGCATTTCTAAAGCATTCTGCCCATGAAAATTGCGGCCACTCTAGGCTTGGGATTTAAGTAACTGTTTCCATCTTTGGTTCTAGCACAGAACGCAGACTTCTTTTAACTGATGTTAATATTTGCTTGCTAGCCAAATACTTTTTCTTTCCTGGGCAGTTGTGAGCTGCAGCTCAAAGTGCCTTTTGCGGTGTGACTTTGTGCATGAAAAGCTTTCAGTCTTAGTGGGTCTGTGTGGTAGCTTCTGTACTGGGATGTGCAGCTCAGTGAGTTGCATCAGTGAGTCAAGTTTGAGCATCTTTGCATGCTGCTGTTGATGGGATAGGCAAGATGCTATGGAAAGGGGCATTTGGGACAGCGCTCCATGCTGAGGACACCGTCCAAATGCCAAGCTAAAACATCAGTACTTTGTTAGCAGTGCTCTAATTTATTTTAGTTCCAGAAGACCAACAGATGCTGCTCTGCCATGTCCTGGAGATCTAAAAGTCAGCACTAAATTATTTTCAACTTTACAGCTGTCTGTATGATGTAATTAAAAAATAAGTTGTTTCAGGGAAGATTTGACAATGTGACCTCTTTATGAGGTGACAGAGTCTGAAAACAGTAGAAATGTGGAAACATTTTAAAGTTGGACTTTAAAAGAGCTCTCCATTAGGCAGAACCAACACAGATTTTAGTGTAGTTTATAAAGAAAAGGCACCAGAAAAATCAGTCAGTTAAATGCCACACAATGATATTGCTGGAGTAGCTCCTGCTAACACAGCTTGAATGGATAAAGTTGATAAAACCAGGATTTGAGGCTGCCCAGAATTAACTGGCTCCTGTAAACCATAAGGCATGTTGTCATTGTTTCAGTAAAGCTGGATTTTGGTGGGGAAAAAAAAAAAGAAAAAACCAACAAACAGCAGAAAGTTCAAAAGCCTGATAACATGGACCTCCTGAAATGCAGCGCAAGGAGTCTGTGCTGCTCTGGTGCCACCAAGCCCAGAGCAGGTCCTGGCACATCTGAGGGTGCTCTGTAACCAGCACCTCAGCTGCCAGGGACCTGTGAGGTGGCCTGGGCTGCTCTGGCATCAGAGGTGTTCCCCAGGGACGGTGCTATCGGCTTCTGCTGAACTGGTGCTAAATCAGCCACAGACCCTTGTCTTTGATGTCAAGCTCTGCAAAATCATTGAAACAAGGTTGGGTTTTGACTGCATCTGGCCCTCACATGAACTTGGCTTTGATGTGGTCTTTCTTTAAGGGGCTGCTGAATTGGCTTTTTTTTTTTTGTTTGAATGTCAGAACTGTCCTTTTCATTATTTCCCGGCCGTTGACTGTTGGTCCATCAGGACTATGCACAGGGTAAAACATCCATCGTGATCCTGGGCTTCTGGTGCCAGTCTCTCACAAGATGAAATTTTAAGCATGTCCTGAATTTGAGCGTTTCACTCCTGTTTCCAACTTTTCTCCTTTCATGCTTCTCTACATCTTACCAGGAGAGTGACAGAGTTTGGGCAGTCCCTCTGCTACTGGTTTCTGTGGTACTGCTCCCATAGGAGCAAGATAACTCACTGACACTTCACATTCACCAACTACCCTTAGAGTGTAGGGAACGTTATCTGGCCCTGATGGCTGAGGTGGGTGGGGGCTCTTTTAGGACTCCAGTTTTTCCCCATTTGAAAATAAAACAAAAACACTCAATCATGGATCAATGTACAGAAGGCCTAGGCCCATGGCAACACCTTTTTCCTGCTGCTTGTTCTAAGAGCTGGTCTCAGCCTGAGGCTGCACCTGACCAGCAAGGGGCAACAAAAATCATGAGGAAGCCATAACACCCCTTGTCTGCCACAACCTGCACTACCACCACACTCACATTTTATCTTCAGGTGACAGCATGGGCAGTTCCTCCTTGCTGCCTGGGAAGTAAAAGGCCAGGATTTCAGCAGTGTGTTTACCAATGCCAGCGTGAGCTGGTTTTACAGAAAATACAGTACAAAAACTACAGCAACCAAAGGCCTCGATCACCTCAGCACAGGCAGTGTGTGGATAAAGAACCTGTCCCACTCTGCAGAGCTGTCACCAGGTTATTTCAAAATGAATGGGGGCCCTGAAGCAGCAGCTCACGCCTTCCTGTGGTTTCACTTGGAAGGATGAGAGCAAAAAAAAAAAAAACAACCTCTGACACAGGAGTATGGCACAGGGCTGCAACTGGCCATCTCCACCCAGTAAGCAAAAATGTCCCTGGGCAATATTGTGCCTGCATCTGGGTCTCTGGAAAGCAAAAATTTACATGAGCCGCATTTCCAAAAAAATTCTTTGTCATAAATTTTAGTGGCCACGTGCATTTGAAATCCTTCCTGTTAATGTGGCATTAATAGAAATATTCCATTCTTCTACGAGACTCATGTTCACACAAGCCGTATACAACTATAAACATTATTAAAGTTTATTAACAAAATCTTTGTACACATCTTTTCATACACTTGGAATTTTACATCTAGTCAAAATAACAGCACATTTCCATCTTACCTTTTGTACAAATTGTTACAGAATATCCACCAGTGGGTTGAGTAAGTAAAATAAACCACTGGTTTACTTTTGTAAAGTATCTACAAAAGTGATTTGTGACATTTTTTTAAAAATTCCCCAGAACATATAAAAATAAATTACTTTTTCAATTAAATCTACTAATTAGAAATATTACAAATCAAAATATCAATGTTTTCTTATGAATTCTTCACAATACAAAACAGATTCACAAAACTTTATTTACAGAAATGAGGTAAGAACTGTGCAATGTTTAACTAAGAAACATATTGCAGAATTAACATGTTCTTCCAAGTAAGTACACAGTGGAGGTCTAATTACTGCTGGGCCTTTTCCTCTAATAATTCCCACCTTACTACCGGTTAGTGGTCATCACCCCCATTCAAACCCCCCTTCACCATACTGCATAGACTCACGCCGTGAAATCAGCTACTGTCGGAAGTGGTGTAACACGAGTTCACCCGTTTCAACCACCAGAAAATTTTAGTGGGAAATATTCACTCGCTTTTTTTGGTAATTTATTAGTGAAAAGTGACCCAGGTAACAATCTGCCTGAGCTATCTACAGTGGTATCAACACCTCTAGAAAAGGCAGAACAAGGCCGCTGGTGCGACACAGAATATTCCCGCTGCTCACAAGGACACGTCTAGTGCATGATCAGCTCTTTGCAGCCATTTCAACAAAACGGAGGTAGCAACAGGCACTTGGTTGAGGCCAAACACTACTCGTGCTTCTCCCAGCGTGGCCTTCTCATCTGGTAAGAAAACTTTGTCACTGGAACCAAACTGGTTCCTTTAAAAACCTCAGAACTCTAAAACCTACACCAAAATTAATAAACTTTGGATTCCATACTGTAATTCTTACTCAGGAAAAACTCCCACTATACAACAACAGGAATTTAAAGGAATAAAAAGTTCAGAAGCAGATTCCCTTAAGGAGACAGGTTTCAAAACAGGTCTGTAAAAAAGAAAGAGCAAACAGCAAGTCCAGGCTGCCATTACAAGCTTCGTCTAAAAGGATGCGTTGCAACTGCAGCAGCAGATCAGACTGGCGAGGGTTGGGGCTGGTTTGGTTTTTAAAACTCCTGCTCTGAAACCAAGGCAATGCATGACTGCAGGCAGTTTGAGAGCCTTTCCATTTATAAGATTAGGACTGAAGAGTCAAGCGTATGTTTTCCTATGGTTGGGTTTGTACTTAGTACCATCGTACTGACAAAATAATTATGGTTTGCAGAGTTTTATCTACTTCACAGTCTGAAGCATTAAAAAGTACATCCATTTTAGTGCAACAAGAAAGCAAATGAAAGCCTACCAAAAATATCCTCATGAAAATTATTAACCTCTTGCTGTGCAGTAAGAGTTCCTTGTTGCATTTCTTCAATCTGCAGAAAGGAAAACTGCATTTTTAGCCGGATGAAGTGCTCTGACAGCAGAACATGCAGTTCTCAAGTGTCATTCAAATGTCAACTCTTCTCTGACGCAACTGGTCCAGTTTTATCATTGAGCCTCTGTGCAAAAGAAAATACTTCTAAAAATCAGATTATAAAATACAGAGTTAAGCAAAATTAAATTCATATAAATGACAAAGCAGGTGAGGTACATTTACTGGCGCTAGCTAAATTTTGCTTCTACTTTCATTCCACCAAGAGCTGCTGTTCCTGGCTGTTGGTCTCTCCTTAGAGCTGCACGATGGTCAAGACAAATCCCAGGAGTCCTCCTATGTTTTACCCACTGGAGAGCGCTGAACTCCACACTTCTCCATCAGAACGGAAATACAATTTCCATTTTCCCCTGTCACCATTATCTTTCTTCCATAAATTGCTACAAATACATTTCCTCCAAGTATTGAACAGGACTGAGCAAACCTCATCTAATTCACCGAGCATTCAGAAATGCTTGAAAACCTGTTCCAGCTGGAAATGAGATTAAAACTTCCAAACTTTTGGCAAACAGTGTTTGTTAAAAATTCTTTTTTGGATTAAAATGGTTCAACAATCCAGGGCAATCTGTCTCAATTCTAACCTTTAAGAAAAAAGAAAAAAAATAACAGAAAAGCCATTTCAAAATAAATTTATTTCTAAGGGTTGTTTGAAATATGTCCTGATATTTCCTAGAATTATTTACAGCTAACTGTTATAGGAACAAAAACTGAAACTGTAACAGCATATTTGTAAAATACACCAGTGCTGCCCAGTCACGCTGTCCAAACCCAGTAATAGCCATTTCAAAACATTTAAAATAAGGCCACATAGAATAGCTTGTTCTGCTGCAAACCGAATACAGGGTCAATTCCATTCACTGCCAATTATTAGGAAATGAGGGGAGATATATTTTAAACATCCTGGAACAAACTGTGAACATTTCTAAATGAAGGCAGGGCACTGAGCAGCCCCCCATGACAGAGCGCTTCTGCTCTGACAGCGACCGGGAAAGGACGAGCCCCTACTGGAGTCCTGCAGTTTGCAGCGTGGTTTCAGCATCACAACAACAAACGAGACCGGGAAGTGACAACAACCATGCACAAAGCTTAATAAAAGGAAACACTTGCATTTTGAATGGAAGGGAGCTATTCCCAGGGAAACTGTGTTGAAAATTCATCATTTTATGTTTCACGTCTCACGTTCTGTTTGGAAAGTACCATAAAAGCCCAGCTGCCTCAGTTGTCCTCCTCCTAAAGTAGCTGGAGGCTTTAGGGATGGGGAGCAGAGATGGGGCCAGTATCTGCCCCAAACCCTTCCCACCTGCCATTGCAGACAAGCTTCCCTTTTTTCACTACCACTGCACTAGATGTTTTCTCCAAGGAATACTGCAACTTTGTCTTCCTCTTCCACTCATCCTTTCTTTTTACATACTTTCTTCCACATGCTCCTTCCCTTCATCCTCTCTTACCTTAGTTGTATGATCCTTACAGAATGAAGTCTGTTCTCTGACTCCCTGAAGAAAGAATTTCTGTCTTGGGGATGAAGGTTATGGGCAAACACTGAAGACAATGGAACATCTTTGCCAGAAAAATGTGTCTTGGTTCCTTATCTGTCTAGGAGAAGTTTTATTACTCTATCAAGCAATGGAGTTGCTCAGCCTCCCAGTGTACAGCCTCAGAAGTGTGCAGCAGACAGGTTAGGTGTAAGTGACTACAAGTTCACAGAGTTCTGAACCTCATTAAGTGCAGCCCAAGGCTCAAGAAAACTAAAAGAATAAAAACCCACCATCCTTGAGTTGTGAATGCAGGTACAGAATTTGTTTCTTATCGTTTAGCAACCTCATGGAGGCACTATATCGAAAATGAGGTGAGAAATATACTTACTGTCACCTTCTGAGCCGTGTTATCTCCATGAATTGTAAGGAATGGGTTGGTTGGAGCTGCGTTAAGTGGTGAGGCCTGCGTGCCTGAAAGTAAGTTGTTGATGGGTATCTGTGCTCCTCCAGTAATCTGCAGTTGCTGTACTTCAGACTGATGGTGTTGGTGGTGGTGATGCTGTTGCTGTACTAACTGATACAAAAGGGCCTGATGTTGTTCCTTGAGTAGTATGAGGAGAGCGAGGAGAAAAAAAAAAAATAATCAAGAATTATAACAGAAAAAATAGCTCCTTTCTGGGTTCAATTAACAACACAAATAGTTAAACCAGTTACCTAATGGCATGTACAAATACTGCAAGTCAGAGCAAAGAAAGCTCACGAGGTGATACCCAAAAATGTTTTGCTAGAGTCCTAGTGGAATCAGAGAACAACTTCAGACATTGTTAGAATCCACTGATGGTCCCAAACTCTGCTGCCCATGCCTGATGCCAAGAGAGACAAGCCACCATGTCCACATGGGACGAGATGGGACTGAAGGCACTAGGGAACAATATCAACACACACAGCCCAATAATACCCTGTCATTTAGCATGACTATCATCCAAAAAGGGTGAAGCAACTGAAAAGCTAAAACATTACCAAAAGCTGAAATACCAAGTTAAACACACTTCTAGTATTTCTGTTAGGCTGAGGAGTTTATCCACACCTTAGAATACAACAAAGGAATAAATCATAATTAACTGGAAAACTTACTGATGTGAGTTGCTGGGTACTTAGTAATTGCTGAAATTGCTGGTGCTGTTGATGGAGTAGAAGTTGTCTCTGTTGGTCAGGAAGTAATCCCAGTCCCGAGGCACTGCAGGGTTTGACAGAGTAATACTGTAGTTTACATGAAAGTATGGGAACTTTGTAATTTACAAAGAACAGCTGTATATAGACAGTTCCTGTTTAGCATTTTGATTGCATACTGTCAAATATTAAATTGTCTGTCTGCCCAGTTGCATTTTTTTGGATACAAACGTAGATATTACCACCACCACCCCCCCGTCTCATTTACGCTGAGCAACAGCAACATTTTGCCTGTAACATAAGTCTACTACACGCACATTATTTTAAACTTAGATAATAATTACCATTTCTACATTTTTAAAAATACTTTATACAGAAAGGCCAGATTTTGTAAGACAGTTCTTGCCAACCTTTAACACTTAGTTAACTGCCGTTTCCTTTGTCTTGGTTTCCTTCTAATTCTCATCTTTTGCTGCATTCACATCCATCACTCTTGCCTCTCCCTTGCCCGTAATTCTGCAGACACATTGGGTCTTGAAGTGGGCCAAGCAATCTGCCACGGAATGAACCCAGCTGCCTCTGTGCTTGCTGCTGCTTAGCTCCCAATCCCTGTTTTCATGCCTACATAAAATTTTCTGCAGCTATTTAAGAAATTGGGCAGGGAACTGATCCAGCTGACAACTGGTCTGGAAATAAAGGGTTTCTTCAGCTCTGCCAGGTCACTACAAGACCAACAGCATGAACAAAGGTGGCTTTGGAACAGACAACCAGGAAGGGAGCTGGATTTACTCTTTCAGTACCAGTGCTAGCTTTTAATAGTTTAACACACCCATATGAAGGTGTAGTTTCACAACAGTTTTACCCTGGTATTGAAAGGTTAAGTATTTCCCTTTCAGATGTACATTTCTGTCCCCTCCCCTTGCACCAGCTCTTGCACAGTGAGCTCCATCTCATGAGAGCTAAGCTGAAACCTAAGCCACTACAAAACAGACTCAAAGATTATCTGCTGATGGAGATGAGGTTACTGTGTGAATGCACCAGCACTGGTACCAGCAAGAAGGTGTGCGTAAGATGACCAACAGGACAGCAGGATTGCTAGTTGTGACGGGTAGTAAGGAATTAACTTAAATCAGCCATGAGTACATGCAGTTAGGCTACAGTCATTTAGCTCTTCAGGACATAGTAGTTATACTGCCTTTCTACAGTAGCTACCATACTGCAGCCTGGCCCTGTGATCACTTTGACATTTACTCTGTATTAACTAGCCAGCATGAAAATACCCACAGCATCACCGTTCTCTACTGCGGGGACAGCACACACAATGTGTAGATGTAGTACTTGGCAATGGTAGGTTTACAGTTGGACTCCAGGATCTTAAAGGTCTTTTCCAACCTAAGCGATTCTATAATTGACATTCATCTACTTCACAACATTCATTACTGCCACTTCCACCCCTCTCCTGGTTCTCAAACATCTTGACGATGGTCTTTTTCCCTAGCTAAGAAGTCAGTTTTAGTGACCTTGTCCTGTGCAAGTCATTTTGCCTTTCATTATTCTTGCTGTGCTGGTTTTTTCCCTTGTTTTATATCATTTTCTGAAACTGCACATAATATTGCAGGTGCACACACACCAGGGATGTGACATGCCAGAACACAAAACGGATAACACCCTTCTATTTATTCCCCAATAACTGCTAGCGATGTTTGATTGTTGGTGAAAGCAGAGATGACACTTCAGCTATCCAAGGAAACTCCTAGATTCTCCTTCTGAGCTACAACAGCAAAAATCAGGTCTAACACAAGCTAGAACTGTGCAAGTGTCTGACTTTCAAACAGTGATACTCACTGAATTCGACTGTACCAAAAATATTTTCAACAATGCCAAAAAATATGTCTCTTCAGTTCAACTAATACTACCATTATTTCCTTCTCTTTTTACCTCACTTTTTCTGTATTCTGTACTGGAATGAATCTTTTCCACTGTTTTTTCATTCTTTTACCCCATTTTTTCTGTTTTCCTATATCATGTTTTACCATTGCACTTATTTTTCCTGTTGTTTTCCCTTCTCTTTATCTGCTCTGCTCTCCTCTCTTGCTCTGCATTGGCACTTGAAAGGAAATACCCTCAGCCAGAGCCGAGATCTGAGTGTTCAGAAAGCAAACCCGGCTGCTGGAGACAAAACACCGCAGCTCCTGCGCTTCCCAGAAGAGGCAGTTCACTGGATTTCACCAGAGCTTTCTCTAAACCAGATCAGCTTGGAATGCAAATTTAATCCTTTTTAGCATCTCATTAAAAGGTATACGATCAGTCTGTAACTCTACATCCTACAGTCTTCTCTAGTTGTGAGAATGTCAAGAAACAATCCTATCTTTTTCGTCAAATCACTTCATCTCCTGGTTGCTAGCAATTGATATTAAGCCATCTTTTTCCCAGAAAAGGAGGGATTATTTTTCTCTGCCGAATGAATGGAGGCTCTTTCAGCTACAATTTAGAACTCTCTCAAACAGCAGTGTGCAAATCAGTGTTTTCTCACTTCCCCGTGAATAAGGACAATATGCATAAAGAAGTCTTCGTGCATTTGTGAATAATTTGGCTATTTCTCACATGAAACTGTCCCAAACAGATTCTGAAGCTTGGGAAGTTACTGTAATTAGCAACTTAAGAGGAACATCTGGGAAGTCTTTTAATTACACAACAGTACACAGAAGATCGAAAATAGGGCTGAGTTCTCAAGTGGCTTTCCATCGTCTGGCAAGTCTTGATTTAAACCACCTCCAAACCTGGTCACCACCGTGCGATCTGACCAGGCTCCGAGAGCTTGCAAACCTCTGGGCCTGCCTGTGCTTGCTGCTGTTTAACTTCCCCACTGAGGCAGTTCAAAGATTTGTGATACCTGGAAGAATTTCACATTAAAGAAAGAGTCTACTGTTGCCACTGAAACAGCACTGAACTCAAGAGTGGCAGGAACAAATGGTGTCCCATATAGCTGCAGAACCAATCATCTCGACCAGTAGAAAATAGTTTTGTATTTGTTTTTCTTAGTTCCAGTAACAGAGAACTTTTTTCATATTTTTCCTTAGAGCACTTGCAATTGAAAAATCAGGAATGAAGAATGTAAGCATCATTACTAAAATCACACTAGCACAAATTAGCGTTAGTGCTTGCTCAGCTAAAACTTTTTTCCTCTCAATATACAACTAGAAATACTGAAGACTCACAGAAAATGGAGGCAATTGTGAAACACCTAAAAAAGGAAGGAGGCACAGCAAATCATCTGGATGAGCTCAATAAAGCAGAAAATTGTGTGAGAAGTGCACTTTTAAATTTAATACAAACATTAATTTTAAATTAGTATTGAGGGAGCAGTGTGGAAAGAGATCTTGCAAGAATTCAAATAAAGAAACGGAAATGCCGGCAGAGCTGTAGATCATGAGCTTGTTGTAGCAGAAAATACACTAAAAGTCAGCATGAGAGCTTCCAAACAGGACAGCAGTTGCGGTATTCTGCGTGAACTGGAGTAGTCTACAGTTGGTCTACTAGGCTGCAAGAGTTACAGTAGTTAAGATGGCTATTAAAAAAATGACAGAAGAACTTCTGCAATACAGAGACAGAAGTCAATAAACTGTGTATGAACAAAATCATATGAGAAAACAGCACGACCATTACATTCTGGCATTACCTAAAAGTGGAAAGCATTACACAACTGGTTAATATTACTGATTTTGTCTGGTATTTCTCACTCCTCACACTTTTGGGAAGGGTAATGCAAAATTCTTGGTTTTCAACAGACCTCTGATACTCAAGAAAGAAGATAACTTTTCATTAACAAAATGTCTTTTGTTTAACCTACGAAGTGTTATGTTCATGTATCTGGAAGTGTTCAAGACCAGGTTGGATGGGGCCTTGAGCAGCCTGGTTGAGCTGTCCCTGCCCATAGCAGGGGGGTTGGACTGGGTGATCTTTAAAGGTCCCTTCCAACCCAAACCATTCTCTGATTCTATGATTCTATAATATAAACTATGAAAAATATAACCTCCTCAGCAACAATACAGTAGCACATCAAAACAAATGATCAGGTTTTATGAGCCTACTGAAGCAATACCACACAATAATACAGCACACGAATATGGAGAAGCTGCCAAACAAACAGCGAGGAAAGAAACTGCAAAAGGAAGCTACAAAACCAGGGATTCCTTGCATCATTCCAATCACCTTGTGCCTTTTTTTAGTGGGTAATCCACCATAATCTCCAAAAATAAACTCTATTTAAAGACAAGTAATCCACACCCTATTTGCAGGCACTTCTACCCCGAAAGTAGTTCTCCTTCCTAAGCAAAAGACAAGACCGGGGTGGAGGAAGGAGAGAATGAGTCAGCCCAGGCTCTGCGCTCTACCTCAAAATCCTTCCTGAACGAGCAGCCCATTCCCCTCCCTGGGGAGCAGCTGTCCCCTTTTGTTACCCATTTGCCTTGCAGTTCATGCTACTGAGGATACCTGGGTTTGGGGAAGGGCTGTTACGAATACTCAAGCATGGATCTTTTTATGCGTTTAAAAAAACCTTAGCAACACCACTTGAACTGATTTTGTTGTCTTTGGAGTCAGATACAGAAAACTGAAAACACCACACAACTGTATCACTACTCTGGTTAGTTATGCCTACTACATCTGTAATTACACGACCTTATATTGTTCTCCTTCCCCTCCCCCTTCTCACTGCAACAAATGGTAGCTTTTCCAGTGCTGCTTTAATCCGGGAAGAACAATTGGCAGGACAAAGAATATTGTTTTCTGAACTAAAAAAAAAAAAAATAAAGAGCTGAAGCACATTTACATAATTACATTTGTTTGGGAATGTGACTTGATTAACTAACAGGAATAAATGGACACCAGGATTCCCAAAAGCTAAACAGAAAACATCTTTTCTTTTACTTGACTGTTCGTGCTTCCATTAAATGCCTTCTTACTTTCATTCACAGATCAGGAGCAGAACCTAGTTTGACAATCACAGGCTAAGGAAAAAACAGTCCCTTTTAAACAAAATAGTTAAAAAATACAGCTAATCTGAAGAACAGCAGGCTCCAGCAGGAAAAACAGAGAGACAGCAAATCCTTACCTGTTATTTAAGGTTGTTGGCAGAGGATGCGTCGCATTGGGTGGCACAGTCGTGTGAGCAAGAGGAGAGGGGTTCTGCGATATTGTTGCTGGGGTGTGAATGACCCCGTTTAAAGCCCCGACGATGCCATTGATCGCCAGCTGGCCGGCTGGCAGCGCTCCAATGAGTCCACCCACAGCAGGCACTGCCGGAATGGTGGAGGTTACGGGCTGCAT